GAGAAACAGCCTGAAGATTTTAACAAGCACTCAGTATCTCCACCTCCCCAGTGCGGGCTCTTACTGCAATGTCAGAAACTGCAGTTCAGTCACATTTTTAAAAACTCAAAAGTGATTTTACTATTCATGGACCAAATGCATCCTGCAAACCTGGCATCCTCCCGTGAGCCCATCCATTTTTGCATGGTGGGCCCTTTTTTGAAATTATGATTCAATTCTATTTTAAGAGATTTTGGAAAATATGGTGGTAAGGACTTGGCCAAATTCAAATCTTGAATTTGGCATTAAAAGGACAGAATTTTTGTAAGGATAGAATCGGGGCCAGACAGCAATCAGAAGCTAGAAAAGTCTGCATCGACCCCACATATAAATATCATCTCTGTTTCCGTACCATGTCTGATTGCCATTTTACTCAGTTATGGGAGGTAGGCTTGGCTGGCAGCAGAGCTCCTGGTCCAGGAGAAGCCACCGGTGTGGGCCCAGGTTACTCTTCAGAGTTCCTCTCACTTCAGCCTCATTCGGTGGCCCCATCTGTCAATCAGCATGTGTCCCTACCTGCTTACTCCAGTCTGCCTTGCTATGTTGTTGCTTCTTTTTCCTAGTGGGTTTCTGGATACTCCGAGGCTGGATCTCTGACTCCAGCAGGAGACCTTATTCAGGGCTGAGGCAAGACTTTGCCTGTTGTGTGTACATAGAGCTGGGAGAGCACAGCAATAGCCAATATTTTTTGTCATGGAAACAAGAAACCAGTGAAGAGAAATACAAGGCAAGAGTTAAGGAGGAGACCAAAATGCATATCAAATGACGAAGCAGCAACTTAAAACCAGGAGGAAGCTAGCTAGAGAGCAGGAGGACATACGGGCACGGGTGTGAGGCCTCATCAAACTCAGTGACGATGTACTTCAAGGTACAGGTGACTTAAGAAAAGATAAAGTGGGTTTTTAGCAAAGCAGAGGGCCAATTCTTCTGAGACTTTAGAGATCATGGAGATGGCTTCTGTTAGGTGAAGACAGAGTATGGAAGAAACTGTGATTTCCAGTTCCCCATTACACTGCCTGAAACACGGAAAG